GTGTATTACGAATATGGAATTCTTCATTTTGTAAATAGGCTAATATTTCCATCAATTGTTCAACACTGTTCATAATAGTAGATTAACTATCAAGGTGTGCTGTAGTCGATAACTAGGTAATTCGTGTAATTAATTGTATAGAAATATGAGACATGATACACAAATGCTCTTACCTATTCTGCATCTCCCTTCAACTTCGAGGGGGCTTCGCCTCGCCTCGCTTTTCGGAAGCGTTGACTCGCTATCGCTCGTTGGTAAGATATCCATCGTGATTCAACCGCCCGCGCCGGTTGTGCAAGCCTCGCTGCAATGCTGTATAGACACCAGGGCTCTGCCCGCAATTTAATAGCGATTATCTTTATTATCTACGCGCATCACAATTCTTAGGAAACTACATCGTTTATATCATACACTGGCCTAGCGTCGTTACCCTTCAATTTCACTGTTGGTCCCTCGGGTCACATCCGCCACAAGGCGAAGGCAACGTTGAAAAAGCTATTTTAACAAAATTGCATACAAAATTGCCACCTGCCCTTTAGCTATTGACGAAACGGATCCGACCCCTCTGAACAGACTCGTGCCTTGACGTGTCGCACCTTTACCAAGACAGTCAAGACTGGTTGATCCTGCGCTGATCAACCTCTTCTCCTTGAATTCTCGCTTCGCACCCCTGAATCACGGACCTTGAATCGTGGAATAATTGACTACATCATCTTCCAACGGCATTCTTTCTTATCGTCTTTATTTATATTTTCCCGAACTGACACTTTGTCGTCACCAGCAGTTATATTTTCTGTCATCCTCTACGTCTCATTTTCTATACCCTGGCACACTTAGCTGGCGCTTCTCGTCTCTCCACTCAAAACCCCGAGGTCTACCTAATAAGCACCCTGGGCGCTTCGCCTTGCGCTGAGCCGAGACTGAGCCACGCCCTCGAATCCATCGTTCCAGCTTTCAGCTTCACATCCTTCCTTTCAACAACTGCACATCTTTCCGCAGGCCTGTTCACCGCCTGCACCTTTTAAGGCTGCTTGTTACCCTCCTTCGTCTGTCGCTTCTGGACACTGATCTCAACTTTTCTCCCGCCATTGATCCTCTCCCCGGGCCTTCTTTGCTCTCTTTCCGCAATTCCTGTTACACCGAATACCGGCGCGCGCCCACCGCCACAGCCACAGCACAGTCCCATCAACAATGATGGGAACCAGACAAATGCCTGATCGCAAAGAACTTCGCGATTACAACTACGCTGTCGCCGGCCAGTAAGTGCCTTGATCCTTTTCGCCTTGCATTCGCGCTTTTCATTCAGGGATTTTGCCCTCCCTGAATTGTGCTCCGTCGTTCTTGGCACATTTGCGTCACCATGCCTCCCCCGCGCTCTGCACAAGACTAACCTCGTCGATTTCAGTGCCGGCACGCTTTGTACCCCTGATGGCGAGCTTTTCATCAAGCCTTGCACCCAATCCGAAATCGAGTTCTATCAGTCTGCCAACCGAAGACACCCCGATTTCGCTGAGCTTATGCCGTTGTTCATGGGCTCGCTCATGCTTACCGACCCTACTGACACAATAATCGATGAAGCCGTCGCGGGAGTCATCTCCCAGGCTGGAGATCTCAAGACGTCGAAGGAAGATATTGTTGCCTCAGTGACTGAACAGGTCGCCGCGGCCACAGGTGTACAAAAGAAGGAGGGCAGTGCTTGGGTCCCTGCAAAGGACAACAAGATCAAGACGGATAAGGCTGTCGTGCTGGACAACGCTACCTTCGGTTTCAAGAGTCCCAACATCCTCGACGTCAAACTAGGCGTCAGATTATGGGCTGACGATGCGCCCCAACAAAAAAAGCAACGCTTCGACAAGATTTCGGCTGAGACGACACATGGCAGCTTAGGGTTCAGGATAGCGGGTATGCGGGTCTACCGCGGATCGGAGGATGCTTCAGAATTGGATGAGGCGGACTACAAGATCTACGACAAGGACTATGGCCGAACAGCAGTTACGCAGGAGAATGTCGTTGACGAGTTTCGAAAGTTCGTCTTCAACAAGAGCGCCGGTATTGACGAGGACCTCGGAAAGGCCGTTTGTGCAGCATTTGTCCGGGATCTACAAAGGGTTGAAGAGGTGCTTGCCCGACATGAGAGTCGAATGTACTCTTCCTCGTTACTCTTCACCTTTGAGGGCGACGGCCAAGCTCTTCGAAGCGCTATCGAAGAGAACAATGCACTGATCGACGCAGAGGCGGGTATTGGCCAGGCAGCTCGAACCACCAAGAGGGTTGATAGTGGCATCGCTCTGGACGATGAAGACGAGCTCGACGAAGATTCCGACCTCGAGGCATCATTACCCCAGATCTACTCCCTCAAGCTCATTGATTTTGCCCACGCGGAATGGACACCCGGCCAAGGCCCTGACGAGAACACCCTAACAGGCGTGCGGAGTCTACTGCGCATCTTCCAAGAGATGATGTAATCCTTACGCAAACAAAACAAAAAGCAAGACATTGCCACCTTTGATGATCATGACAAACAAAAAGATTCGATTCACGTCTATATTATAAGTTCCGATCAGACGGTACTAAAGGGGCGGAAAAACAAAGACAGCATTTGCTTAGACGGAAACGGCTGGAAATTTCGATACCCATGTGCTAAAGGATCGAAAGGGAAACAATGTAGAAACATAGCTGCGTAGCGGCTTGGCGCATGGTGTCTGTTATGATGGCAATTTATTATTATATCCTTGAACGATCAAATACTGTAGGATATTGTTGTGCCTTGGATCTTATGGCTATGGGATAGGCGTTGAAGGGGCTTTGACAAATGGGTGTAAGATATCGGTATAGAACATGGTAACCGCGCATAGGATCCTTTAACAGAGAGACAGGCTTCTACCTTTTTTATACCTTTGGAAGCGTTTAGTTACCTTGTGAATGCTGTTTGTTGTGAGATTTATGGATACACGATAGTCAATTGTTTGCGAGCTTGAAGGTCTAGAACTTGCTTGTCACTAGGTCGAAATCAACGAGGCGTGTAGGAGCATTGCAACTATATGGAATTGAACATGCAATGAGCCGGAAACGTTGATTGAACGAAACAAAGATGGTTATATAATGGTTTCATGCCTGTGGTTCTAATAAATCCTACACAGGCTAAAGAGCAATTCAAGACCAGCCCATGCCAATTCATCACAAGAAAAACGCCAATACACACAAATTTCATGTTCTGAAACTCCTGGTATACATTAATGGAGGCAACGTGAAGAGGAAACACCGCCAGCACCATATTTGGGTACCGCTGTTTGCCACGATGACCCACATGCCTCATACAACCATAACTCAACAACTACCAATCCGTATAATTCAGCCCCAGCAAAAATGACCATCATGAAAAGATGCAAAAATGAAATTGTATGATGAGACTGGGACTCGAACCCAGGAGGATTGCTCCACCAGGAAATTGGTGTTAAGGTTAACCTTAACCTGGCGCCATAACCAACTCGGCCATCTCACCCAAGTCCTTGATGAGGACCCGCTTGTTGTTGAGATTGGCATCGCAAAAGTGCCCCAAGTTGCCTGGGCGGCGAGAAGGACGGGTTTGAAGCCGCCTACATGTCTTATTTCCGCGTTTCGTAAACGAATGTTTGGTCAGGCGTTTAATCCTTGGACTGGATCTTGTGGTCTCCGGCGACAACGTCGGCGTACGAGGGAGGCACGCCCTGGCTATCGGAGCTGCCCTCGCCGTTATTTGTGACGCCCTGCTGCTGCTGAGGGGCGGGATGAGAAGAGCTGCCAGCGTTTTGAGTGCCGTAGTTCAGGTTGCTGTTGTTCTTGTTGTTGGCAGCGCCGTGGTGAGGCTTAGGCTGACCCTTGGGCTGCTGGTTCTGAGGATGGGCGTGCTGGTGAGGACCTGGTGGGCACTGGACGTAGACGTAGGTAACGCGGTTACCCTCACGATCCTGGGGCAGAGCCTCGTACTCGTAGGGCGGCTCGGGATACTTCGCGATGATGTACCATGAGTGCAGAAGGCCGGGGACGAAAGCAAGGCAGCAAAGAAGGATGTTGATAAGGGAGTCGGCGCTGCAGATACCGCACTTGACCCAGACTGCGAATGAACAGTTAGCGACGGTGCGCGATAAGGGAGTTTGTGATGAACTTACCGGGCAGTGGGGGGAAGAGGATGGCGAGAAACGCAAGGAAGAAGTCGGCGGAACACATGATAAGATAGAGAACGTCGAAGCTCTTCTAGAGTTTGAGGTATAGAATCCCAATACGAGATATATTGATTTCGTCTAGGTTGAAGGAATTGACGTTCTTTCTATGTTTGAGTTGGTTTGGTGGGAGGAAGAAAAGAGCGTGTGACCTGGATTGACAATGACGCTGCTCAGAGTTGACCTGCGCCATGCGAGACAGAAGCCGGGTCACCTGGAGGTGGCGTTCCCGGGGGAGGGGCTTGCGTAAGAGCGTCAGAGGCAGGGATAGAAAAGTGCTGTGATTGGGTGGGAGTAAGACGTCAAGTCACTGGAACCCCGCCGAAAGCCACAGATTCGGGTCATCATTCACTAGAAGTTCAACGGTTGGAGGCCTGGAATCTATCTCAACAATAATCAATCAATCCCATCATGTTACTATCACCAGGCTACCATATATCGCCTCCGAAACTTCCTCTGGCGAAGAGTAGGAAGAAAGGGCACAGCGCCTTGTTCCATTCTTGCGCGATACAATCCTGTTCATGTCTGCGCCACCGCACTTACATGATCTCATCACAACATAGCCAGGCAGAAGCGACAGGGCTGGCTGATGCAGAGTATGCGAAGACTGGTTTAGTTCAAAGCTAAATCATCGTGAGTTCCTAAGTTGGCGGGCAAATAGTTTACTCGTCCAGAACGTCGGATCACTTAACGGTTCGAATTCACAGAACATACTAGTACTCACAGGAGTATGGCCCGTTTTGTTGTTCCCTCATGATCCAGCTTCTGCGACTCCCCGTCACACAAAGTCACACATTCATCGGGCGAATGGTTTAGTGGTATAATACTCCCTTAGCAAGTTTCTTCTGAAGCCTCTAATTATGGGAGTGGTCCAGGGTTCGATTCCCTGTTCGTCCAACTTCGGTGGTTAAATCCCACTATTAATCCACACTTTTTGAGTTTTAAGTTCTTCTTTTTTGTGTCAAATACAGTGGCCGTGCAAAAGTTCCGACATTTCATCTCTATTAAGTTTTATATAGGTTATATGGTCTTATCAAAACTCTTCTAATAATCATATAATGTATGCGATAAGCGAGTGGCATAGATAAGCGAGTGGCATAGATAAGCGAGTAGCATAAGAATCTCAACCTTCTTAAGATAAAGTCTAATAAAAATATAATAGACTATCTAATCAATTAAAATTAACTATTATACTTATTTCCAGAGGCCTTAATTCCCTCCTGATAAGTTCTTATATTATATCCAGTCTTACCATAAGTCCCGCAGCGCCGAACCCTCGGCTGCCCCGACCTTCCTTGACTATTACTTCTCGATGATTTGGCTAATACCTATGTACTTATATCTATATGATTAATTAAATCCTGACCTTCCTATATAATTAAGCTCCCTCTATTCTATAGGCATGTCCTTTTTGCCCTATACCGCCGGCTAAGTATATTATTTGCCTTATAAAGCTCCCGGTTCTTAGCCTCTAATAAGGTAGTCTTTTATATATTCTTCGTTACTGCTTTTATAAGGGACTAAAGAGCTTTAAGGATTAACTCTGGAGAGCTACTATAATATCTTCTAATTCGGCCCCGAAGGTATTTAGATTATAATCCGGCCTTAAGGACTATAATTGGGGTCCTTAAAGTCTAAGCTTAAGCTTATTGGGCTACCTCTTTAATAGGCATTAGAGTCCATAGCTATATATTAAGCTTTGAGATTATAACTTCGGGGTTAAAAGGAGCAAGTCTGGCTCCTCTAAAACCCCCCTTGATATTTAACTCGGTTATAATTAATTGAAAAGCGGTATAAAAGGCCGGGAAGAACTTAGTCTTAGAAATATGGGTTATAGACTATCTAATTAGTCGCTTTATTTCTCGCCTATATGCCTTTTTTAGTGGCCTAAAGTACCCGATATTAAGTGGCTATAATAGGTACGAAGAGTAAGGAGGTATATAAAGTATAATAATATTATTAACCTTATAATATAGCTGGAAATTAATAGATTAATGACTTTTATGGCCATCGAGGATTAGAAGATGATAGGTATTAACTAATTGGTCGGCTATATATCGATTAAAGTGCTTTAGCCAGTTAAGGCCTATCTTATTATCTATCTAGCTATTTAGTATTATAGTGATAGCCTAAGTGCCCGGGAGGTTACTCTCTTGGTATTAATTGGTAAGGTAATATTGGCTTATAACCACGATGAATAGATTAATTACTTGGCCTTCTATATTAATCGCTTAAATCGTAGTAATTTATTCCCGATTTCCAGGCTGGACTAATTTTGGGTTTTTATGCCTTTCCGAGCTGGTAATTACTATACCGCTTAATATTATA